GTTAAACCAACCTAGTTGAAATTCCTGTTTTTTCTACTATTCCATCTTCTAATGCGTCGAGCTGTTGTCCGTCTAAAGCTACGAAGTGATCCCGCCCTTCCTGTCCTGTTGCTCTTCTAAAAGGTCAGGCTTTCTGCAGCCCAAAATATACTCACCCAATGACAGCCCTATCTTTAAAAAAGCTATTCTAGCACTTCCTGAAAAATTAGGCAAATGAGATCATGATTTGAATAAATTATCTTTATTGATGTTCACCTTTACTTTACTTCCAATTGCGGCAAGTACAAAATTAAGACAAAAACAAAGATTCTGCAGCTCATCTCTCGGGACGAGTCGGTACTCACGTGCAAGCTGTTGTGGTGCTTCTCCTCTGCTGGCAATGTTCCGCACACCCAGTATCTCGTGTGATCCTCGCCAGGCTGTTGTTGAGGTCACCTCGCTTGTAGCCTTCCCAGCCTTCGTGACCTTATGAAGTGTGATTGGCTGTACAATATATAAAATGTTTAGTGCAATGTTATATAATTAAGGGTTAATTTCCCGCCTCGAGGTGAATATGGTGTGATAAAGCCTTGTCAGTTGCTATAAGCACCGAATGAAGCCACCGAGTGAGCGCAGCGAGGGAGTCCATCCAGCCCCTAGGTGCATCACTTTTGCACATCCAGCCCCTAGGTGCACCCAGGATTTCAATCTGTATGCACTGCAGTGCATACTATCAATACAGGCAGGAGTTTGGCCCAAGTGAAGATACAACCCATGAGTAATCAGTTAATCAATTCAATCAAATACACATCCTGATCAAATCAACCAATCAATTGAATCAAACAGTACACACACACAATAAAGCAATCAATGAAATCTAATACCCAAATCAACCTATCCGATGATTGGACATCAACTAACCAACCAAATAAATGTCTGTATTGTACTGTAACTGTTGCATAATCAGTGTTCGAAATACCTGTCTGCAGTCTGCAATCTGCAGATAGATTTTTAAGATTGCAGAAGACAAATTTATACAATCTGCAATTTTGCAGCAGGAAAAATTGGCACTTGGAATTTGGCACTCTTGGCCCCAAGGAGAGACAACACTTAAGCTCCTGTTCTGAAACAACAGGAGCTTCTTCACTAATTTACATCAACCTTGCCTTGACTTGTCTATCTTTTGTTTCTTTTGGGACTTCCAAAAATTTGTCTTCACTAATTTGCATATGAATCAATAGTTCATGCTTATAAACCTGCAAGATTGTATTATGGAGGCTTGTGTATTAGCAGAAAGTATTTCCAAATTGCAGAAGAAAATTTTGACTCTTCTGCAATATTGCAAAGCACTGAAAAAAAGTATTTCGACCACTGCAGGGTTCACTAAAAAAGATGGTGTCTTCTTGTACAAATTAGGAGGTAATTTGGCCTAAAATTAAAAAAAAAAAGCATTTTACATCTGCCCAAAACCCCACCCATCCCTGATTGCCCTCTTCATTTTCATGTCAAACTCTTTCTTTGTCAGCCTAGCCATGTGCTCAGGTAGTGTTAATGTAAAAGAACATGTATTTGCCCGAGGAAAACAACTGCATCCTTCTTCACACCTTCTGAACTGTATCAGGGGCTGCATTGGCCATCCCGTCGGTGGCTTTGTCTTGAAACTTGTTACGAAAATGATGAACTCTTTCAGCGATACAGAGCCTTCATCTAAAAATTGACAAAGCAAAAAAAATGCGGAATAAACATTAATGGTTTCATACAATTCGGCAGATTAAAAATTTGACACTTGTCATTTCTTGGATATAGTATAAAATTACAACCTGAATGACTTTCCCAGAAAAATGTATGGGCACCATCCCCTTTGACACTTAAGAAAGGTCATTTGGACAGAGGCCCCCCTCCCCCTCTAGAACATGAGCCTGTACAGTTACAAGTTACAATAAAGTTCTATTGCATAGTTTTAAACAGAGGCCTCGTTTTTAAGATTTAACGTGCCAAAGTTCAAGATGTAAATAAGATTCTCTGTTCGCAAAAGATGCTAAAAGCTACATGTATCAATGGTATTAACTGAGGCTAACCTTCATCCTCCTCAACATCCTCCAACCAGGTGCACAGTTTCTCCACCAGGCTGACTTGTACTGCTTTTCTGTTGGACCCATTTTCTGCATACTTTATCATGAACATTTGTGAGGCCTCATCAGCTGTAACTTTCTGGTTCTTGAGGTTAAGCAGTTCCTCGAGTCCAATAGGGATGGATTCTCGTCAAATGCATCAATCAGACCAAAGATGCCTAGGCCTTGATGGATTTGGTCTATTGCAGTCTGCAACAAGAGTGACATGAAGAGTTCTATGAGCTACTCTATTTAATTATTCTCTGAATCAAAAGCATAAGATTGTGCACTGTCATGGTGACCCTAATACGGGGACACTCCAAAGCTGCTCAACCCAAAATCTACCGATTCCATATCTTTCTGACGAAAGCAATGAATGTTGATTAATATTTTATACACCTAAGTATGTCTACAACACAGACATTTATGTTGACTGCATATATTTACCTTCCTCTTTAGAATAATGTCATGGAGACATATTGTCCTCTTCAAAGTAGGCACATCTTCTGATGTTGTGGATGCTTTCGTCCATCCGATGGTTTCCAGGATGTTCATTGCCTCCTCATCCTGCAGGATGTCTGACAGATTCTCACCTGCATTGTCCAGCTGCAACAACAACAAATTTTAAGTACATTAAGGGTACTGTTTGTCAGCAACTGGGCACTCTTGTCAGCCTACCGTGTGATGTTATGCGGCGCATCCCGCGTCCGCATTGAGCGAAAACATTTTGCTCTCATTAAACTAACCCTGTCCCCTCCTCAAATAAGTTTTACTCTGTAGATGTGTACTTTAACGAAGATAGCGTAACCCTTTTTTGGGGCTGCTGAGAGAGTTTTTCGCTGCCGAAAACTCGACCCTAAAGTTGAGCGGCAAAACCGACATTCTGGTGGCGGCGGCCTGCACGGTCCTTCTCGCGCTGATTTTGACCGAGGTGTTCGAAATAGAACAGGGGGCAGGGCTTTTAGTGTTCGACGGTAAAGGTCCATTGCATAGTACATTTTGACAGATTTTAGCCAAAAGATGCATTCCTGATTACAAATACATGCAGTTGAAGCTGTAAATACAAAGTTAACGCTTATACAGTACATGCAACAGGAAATTATAATAAAACTTTAAAGATTTTTTTTGCAAAAATTAAATTAAAGGTAATTAGACACCTTTTGCAAAAATTGAGCCAGCCTTGGCTCCTTGGGTTCTTCTGCATTCAGGTGCTCCAGGTCTCTGCCGCACACTGCCTGGGCAATGCCTGGGTGAAGTCCATTTGGTGCCGGCCCACGGTGTACGATAGACATGGCAAAAACCACTCCAACTGATACATAATCTCTGTTACAAACAGATACTGAAGATGCAGTAGGCAAGTACCCCCCAGGGCCCATTTCAAAGAGGCCAGAGTGTTCAAATATATCTGACAATGCAAGACGGAACATCTCATTTCTTGGCCCTCCCATGTCCACTGTTTCCTCTTCACCAATGAATTTTGTTTCAACTGTTTTGCATGGATCGAAGGACTTCCTACTCATTTTTTCTTTTAACGATCCCCACACATTGGTTCGCCTGATGTTGTAGACTTTCGTTTCCGGCTTGATGTTATTCTCATAGAGGTCAGATACAATTTGTTTCAGTTTAGCTTCTTTTTCACTAAAAAGTATAGAGAAAAAGACCTTGTGACAAATAACACAAGACAGTATAGGCAAGCAGTTACACCCTATATACTGACAGCTCTGTTTCTCATCACAGTCTTTACTTTGCACTGACACCAATTGGCACAAGCAACAACTGTTAAAATATCATTACTTAGAAATATTGCAATTTAAGCCTATTACCGTGAAGATAACCATAAAGTGCAATATAAAGCTTTTGAAAGTAAAATTGGGATTGTGATCTAAGTTCTCGTCTCAAGCAAGGTGTCACAAAGGTAACTACAGAATAATCAACCTTCACAGACGTACAGAATAATAAACTGAGCTCATGTCAATAGAGATGAAAGGAATCAGATGGTAAATTACCTTGGAGACATGTCTGCACTGCCAGGCTCATCACTGTAGAAATAATGACACTGTGCATGTTAACTCAGTAAAACACGCTGCAGTTCCACAGAAAGCAAGTGCTTGTGGTTTTAAACTTGTTTCAAGGTAATATTCAGGAGTTATCCTGTGTATGCAAAATAAAATACGTACACAAAACAGACAGTCATAAAATCAGGACCTCCTTCGCAGGGTTAAGAAGGGATGTAGTAATGATGTTACAAATACCTTGCAATCAGTGAGTCAGACGTGTTCTCAACATGGACCTCGATGCTTTCCTCATCACTGTATTGCTCCTCATCGTATATTTGTTGTAACATTTTCCTGTATTCGGAATTTCGTAAATCTCTTTAGATTAGGGTGTAAAAGTAAAATATAGCATCGCCCATTATGTAACTACGTTGTAGGTATAAACAAGAAATCTGGGTGCCACCATAAATTATGTTTCGTCAGTGTTGTAAACACCCAGGTACAGTGTTGTCGTCTAATTGTTGTCATCTGCAAATCAGCTGACATTTAACATACAGTAACTGATCTTGGAGCGTTGTAAATAAAGCCCCATATACATGCAAAGAGCCAGTCACAATTTCCAAACAGCAAATATTCATTTATTCACCCCCTTGAGCCTGAATTACATGGAGTCAACCTTAATTTACTGCAACAATTCTTTTCAACTTTAAATTTTTTTTTTTTTTATTCTGTTTTCTTTAGCGAGGGTGGTCCGCTAAGTGATTAACACTGCTTTACAGTGCAGCTTTAGATAAAGTGTGACACGTGAATTGGCACAATAATATAAATATCATAATCATCAACTTACGCAAACTCATAATCTCTGCTCAAGTCTGGTTGTACATGTGCAGGTCCTGGTCCTGGTCTCCGGTCCTGGCTTGTACTAGCTATAGGTCCTGGAGCAGAATTGGCATTGAGGTCTGAGACGCTGAACAATGGAATAAGAACAAGACTATTGATAAATAAGTGCTTTACTGAATGACAGAGTGTACAAGCCATTTGGCTGACATTTTAAGTAACTTTAAGGTAGAATGAGTGTCTTATCCTCAAGCAACACATCTCCACACTGTCATGTAATTCACAATTTCTACCAATAATGGGTAAGGAATTGAATCTGGTCACATATTAACCACATTATGTGTTTTTAGTAATTTCCATGAGCAAGGGTGCTGCTGTTACAGTTAAACTAATTACAGTGTATGGAAATTGGCATCAGAATTTTTCCTACCTTTCTTTTCCTGAGACTAGTTTGACAGGATTCTGTGGAGAAAAAACTTCATGAATTCCAATTTAAGCAGTTCATTAATCTATCTGCCACCTACCATTGATCACATTATAGCAAATCATACAGCCCATGAGTTTATTGGGTTTCCGGAAAAGGTGGGTTAGGCTGTGCCCTCTACCATTCACAATAATGCAGATTTGGGGAAACCACAGTTCTAAAGTTAAAGTTGAACTTCTCAGTCATCAGGAACATGAGCTATAAATCAAGTTAAAGGTAATGTAGCTTTGAAGCTTGCTACTCACAGTGCAAAACACTGATAACTGTGTCCATGTTTAATTATAGAATGTACACTTTCCACACAAACCATTTTTTTTAGCTTTGGTAAAATATCATGATGACATATTGAGGTCTCAAGAATAAGCCAAATAGTCCTGCTTTCACATAAACATTAATTGTCATTCAAAATTTGAGCAGTTAAATGCTATGCTAACGTTTGTACATGTAGATATTTTGTCCCTGTATATTCAATATTGTAATAGTAAGAATGTTTTCAATTGGGATTGGACTTAGAGTTTTGACCCTACTGTACAAATTAACCAAAAGTGAAACCTGCTCCATTTAGGACATACAGGTACATAGCCTACCGACAGTTGGTCCGATGGTGCTGGGGATGGCTGTCAGCAAGGGTCAAAGTGGTCAACCCTGCCTGTGCTGTGACTAAGATAAGGGACACCTACCCTTCAGAACAATATACTGGGTTCAAGTATCCACCTTTTCTCCATCCTTGTTCACCAGTTGTGACCGTACGCAGTTTTCATTGTGGTGCAGTATGACTAGGTACATTCTGTGAGTGAAGTAAGAGCACACTTTGAGTTTGACGTAGAGAAAACAAACTAGGCCATATTTGTCACATCTCAGTTTTGTTACGCTTTGTGGATTTCAAAATTTAAGTTAGGACCCACCAAGCGTTTACTAGATAGGATTTTATTTGAGGGGGTCCTTTCTTATTTCGCTGATATGTGCGCGCGGCGAGCGTCTTAGGCGCGAGCATTGTAGGGGGGTCCGATGTTCTTCAGGTAATATATTTTTGTGTGTCTGCTGCAATATTTTTGCCTAATTGATGTATATCTGTGTACCACTAGTCCACAACCACACATCTGCAGACCATACCAACACAGCAGAAATTCAAGCTAAAAATTCCAAATAAATCTTCTATATGTTTATATTTCTGTGTAACAAAAATATGGTTTGTTTATACAAAAATAATACTTAAAGAACAACTTGATATCAAACCAATGCAGAAGAAATTCAACGCCTGAACTTCCAGATACATCTTCCATATGTTTATCTTTCTGTTTAACAATATGGTTTGTTTTTAAAAATAATACTTAAAGAACAACTTGATATACCAATGCAGATGAAATTCAAGCCAGAACTTCCAGATACATCTTCTATATGTTTCTATTATATGTATATGGTTTGTTCTAACAATAAAATGCATCTTCGTATGTACTATCTTTGACAAGTAGTGAAAACCAGTAATGAAGACAACAGACAAGTAGTCAAGATTGTTCAGTCACTTATTAAGCTGTACATGTTCTAACATGTCTTGTAAACCTAGTTATACAGCTTTAAAACTTCAAGACTAGTTCTGCACACTTCAGCACACTGAAGGTAAACTGTACAGAACTATCATGTAACCTAACCCTACTTGTTACAAGTTCTTTATTTGATATAAAGTGTTACATGCTAATGCTATACATGTTAATACAACACTACCACTAGTGTACTACTGTCCAGTGTCCATTCTAAACCTAAAGGCGCCTGGGGGCCTCCAGGTAGATGTCCCTGGCTCCCACAAAGTCGAACTGTGCCATGGGAACCTTGGCATAGCTGAGCCTGATGAGCCTGTCCAGCTGGTCGATGCCGAGGAGAGCGCGTGTTTTGGTCTTGATCCTGTTCTGACAGGAAAACACGCGCTCTGCCTCGGCATTGCTGACAAGCACCACCAAGCAGCAACACATGAGCTTGAACACTTCTGGAAAAAATACATAGAGAACAAAATGAACACAAAGCTTCTATCACATAATTCACATTCTAATAGAAAGTTTAGAGTATTAACAGATCGACCAAGTTGTCGACCAAGTATGGCAATCCGTTATCATCCATCCGACCCACCTTGTCAACATGCCCCAATAGGTGAAGGACGCCCATTTCGGAGCAAAATGATTCATCAAGCTGCGGAAGGCTTCCAGGGTCGATGTTGATACTTTGGAGACAGCCTCTTCATGTCCTTCAGCAGATTTGGCTTGCTGATCACAGCACTCAGCTTTACACTTGCCTTTGTGTCTTAAAGAGAAAAAAAGGAATGAGTACTAACTAAAATAACTATGCAACATTTCTGTGCTACTTAAGCTAGGTAAAAATAAGACACTCTGAAGAGATAAGACTCTAGATTATTAAGAGGTCATTGCAAAAACTTCAAAATGAAACCTGTTCTGTAAACATTTCAAGATCTACAGTATGATAAGTATCTCAACAGACTTACTTCGTTGAATCCACTGTCTCCTCAAAGGTCCATGTTCACATTGGGGGTAGAGCTCAACATGTCCACCATGCTGATTGTGTACATGGTTCTCAACTGAGGACCACTTGGCAGCTATGAGGTCACCTTGACCCTCCCCGGTGGATGTTTCAGACCAGTACAGGTGGTTGATTATAGATTTAACCCACAAACCATTGACTACACAATCCTTTTCTCTGGCACGTGCGTTAAGTTTCTTCCTTATTCCTGGTAATATATAAAGAATACCACAATTAAAAAAAGTCTGTTGATAGTACATGTAATTTCTATTGCTTATTACCTTCGCCAAGAAGGTTATGTTTTCAGGGGCGTTCGTGTGTCTGTGTGTGTGTTTGTGTGTGTGTGAACACGATAACTCGAGAAGGCTTTGATGGATTAGCTTTATACTTGGTAGGTGGGTAGGTCTTCATGAGACCTCAAAATGATTAGATTTTGGACCCCCTAGCGGCTTCTTATGGTACTGCAGCTGAACTTCCGGTTTTGATATCTCAGGATCCAGACATGCTAGGGTGACGAATTATGGATGGTAGGTAGCTCTTGTGTTGGGGAAGAAGTGACGTGAGTTTGGGCCCCCTAGCGGCTTGCTCTGGAACTGCAGGGCTATCTGTTTGAAAATATTCAAAAGGGGATAACTCAAGAACCGGTTGACGGATCGTCATGATTTTTGTTATGTAGGTAGCTTACGTGATGATTGATATAATTATATGACAATTATGCAAATATGAATTTAATTTGCATAATTTATGGGGAAATTATACAAATCAGTTGTATTTCATGATAGAACTATTGAAGCTTGTGAGATTGTTAATCGAGAACGAGAGAAACACAGGCAGATATTAATTATGTAAATGAACACTTGATTTGCATAATTAAAGAGAAAATGTTATGATTTTGTAATAATAAATGCCTGGAATTTCATACTTGTGGTATTTGAAAGTTCAGTAAAGGTGAACATCATTAAACATAATGTATTCAAATCAGGACCTCATTTGCATAATTTATGAGGAAATGCTAGAATTGCATTGTTTGTTAATATATAAGACTGTCTTTGGTTGTATGAAAATATGATAAACTGATATACATGTAACTCATGAAAATAAGGATCCTATTTGTAAAATAAGGGGGAACTCTATATTTGTCAGTCATAAAGATGAACATCATTTGGCGAAGGTATGAGATCGGGGAACTCTAGTTTATTATGGCATAGTCGAAAGTCTCATAAATTGTTTAAAAGATGGGGGAAAATGCTACCCTTTCGCAATATGCCACACATCGTACAGATGCTGTGTTCCAGGCATGTTTTCTCTTATCCACTTTGCCACTTGTAAGTGGCGGTCCGTGACAATGGTAGCAACCTGCAAGTTCCTTGCCCACAGTTCTGTTACGGTTCTGATGAGGCCCTCTTTTTCCATATTGTTGCTTCCAGCAACTTTATTGCTCTATGAAAAGACAGATGAAATGTTTGTAGTACAAGAATAAGGGTCACGTTTTACTATATTGTTTTTTTTCATAAGTTTCAGAAAGTCTTTCAAGCATTAAAGCCCCTTTGCAACGGGGCAAAAGGACTTAATCTGCTGTACTTCACCTGAAGGATATATAATATATAACTACAAAAATTCGGGTACAGGAAACACATTAATGCTTTAAGTACGTACCTGAACCAACTGACTTGCAAGAATTCTGTTAGTGCGCAGATCCATCATGGTGTACGAGCCATACTTCGCTGAGTGTCCAGGGCTGTCGGCTCTACCCTCACCAGCCAGGATAAGGGGTTGTGCAGCTTGCAGCAGTTGTTCTTGTTTCCGCATCCAGATGTTTTCAATTTCTGACAGAAGGTTGTGTCTCTTACACCCATTTCTAATTCATTGTCCTGCAGTAAATGAATGATAATTATCTTATAACAGTTTAATTTTTTTTGTTCATTGCATTAATAAACATACTGCTTGTAACAGGAAGCCAAACTGCTTACCAAACTAAAATACAATTCATGCTTTATAATGTGCTGTTCCAAATTTATATTGACAGTAACATACTCTGTACTATAGTATGTCCCTTAGATGACAAAGATGACAATATGTAACTATGTACCTTAGATGACAATGATAACAAAATGTAACTGACAGTTATGTGCCTTAGATGACAAAGATGACAATATGTAACTATGTGCCTTAAATGACAAAGATGGCAATATGTAAGCTATAAATGTGCCTTATCTTACTTCTTCAGGTCTAGCCCAGGACGTTCCACCTTCAGTGTCCGAGGAGCCAGAGGGTGCACTGATGCCCGAGAGACCAGTGTGCCCTCTGCACAACAGTGCTTGAACGGCCTCCACTGATGAAAAGCAGGGGTAAGTTAGAACTGTAAGATTTACAGAGAGCTTAGATCTGTTTCATGACCAAGTTGTTACATGATTAATGTACTAAGTTTTCAGATCTTGAGTTGTAACATAACATAACAGATTAGTTTTACTGTACCAGTGATCTTGTATTACCTAGTGCTTTGTAAGTCGATAGTCTGCATTTATAACAGTATTTCTTACCTGCTATGGATTTTACATAATTATGTATACCTTGTATTGTAAGTCATATCGTAAGTCGATAGTCTGAATTCATAACATCCTTAAAGCCTTTAAGTTCAAAGAAGACTACAATTAAGAAACCTACAGTGGGTGCCAAGAAACGTACAGTGCGTGTTGCTGTAGGTTCAGCTGCATGGCTGTCTTATCTTTCGCGAGGGTATGAATGGGGGAATCTGAGGGGCATAACGTCTGCTAGCCAGGCCAGGTGGACATGATTTGCAGCATCACTTATTTCAGAATTATCTTATTTCAGACTCGGACAAGAAACAAAACTTTAAAAAAAAGGCCAAGGAGAACACCACCTCCTCACCTCCAGACACCACCCCCTCACCGCCAGACACCACCCCTCACCTCCAGACACCACCCCCTCACCGTCAGACACCGACCCCTCACCGTCCAGACACCGACCCCCTCACTGCCAAACACCACCACCTCACCTCCAGACACCACCACCTCACCTCCAGACACCACCACCTCACCTCCAGACACCACCACCTCACCTCCAGACACCACCACCTCACCTCCAGACACCACCACCTCACCTCCAGACACCACCCCTTACCTCCGGACACCACCCCCTCACCGCCAGACACCACCTCATCACTGCCAGGCACCACCCCCTCACTGCCAGACACCACCTCCTCACCGCCAGTCACCACCCCCTGACTGCCAGACACCACTTCCTCACCTCCAGACACCAACACCTCCCTGCCAGACACCACCTTCTCACCTCCAGACACCACGCATGGAAAGCCTTGAAAAGGCCGTTTGCATGCTGCGTCAAGGCTTAGGATTGATTTATTAGTAAGTAAATCTTTGTGATCTAGATTAAGTTTGATTTACAACTAAACAGAAGAGCCCAGTCTGGTATATGAATGCATGAAATTTAAGGAGAGAAAAGGGTCAAGGAGAATCTAAAAACATTTGTCAAAAATTATGAATTGTAGTTTTTTTTAGAATTGTGGCTTGCTTGGTGAAATTAAAGCACTGACATGTGTACCTTTCATATCTGTACAGAATCAGCAATCATTACAAGATTGCAGCTACCAGTTACGACGGACAAGTAGGCAAATGCATATCAACACACGGAACGATATAATCTTACGATTGATAGGAATTATGCTAAGTACTCAGTTTCAGATTTATGCAGTATTATTTTGAATATAATAAGCACTAAACACAATGTAAAACTGATGACAAAATAATTATAAATTGTACCTAATGTCCATAATAGAGAAATATTGACTTACAAGAATCAAGGACATCAGAATGGTAAGTTCTTTTATTTCCTCTCTTTAAAAAGAGACAAGAAAAGACAGAATATGCCACGTTCAAAATACAACGATATTTAGATATAATAGCTGTTTTTACGATCCGACAATGACATCTCTCTTGGCAAACTCATTACTCTCAAGAACTACTACTCAAGAACGGGATCTAACAGTATTAAGTATTCAAAATAGCATTCGAATTTCATTTGGTTTACAGAGAGTGACCCTGCAGACGTTCCATTACGCGAGTGGTGCGGAAAAACGACGCCGCACTGAACGATACCATCGTCCGGGCGCCCCCTTTGCCGGCATCATGATGTCTGCAAACATCCAAGGGAGCTGGGTGAGGGTCGGGTGGATCCCGGAGAAATTCAAGAAGCTGGTGATGGAGAGCTGCGGGGGGAGGCCGGAACGCCTTCGTGTGACGTTAGCTAACATCTACTCAAACGCGGATACTATGTTGTCAAAGTTAAACTAGAATCTTATTATTAGAATCAAAGAATCATCAGTAGTGTCACTTTTCTCTTGTATTATAAATACGTCAGTTCTGGGTCATATTTCTATGCTAGCTAAACTTTCATCGTCACGCAAAAAGCCCCGTCAGCCTGCACCATGTACCACTGTTCAGTCATCATCCTGTAGATAGAAATCGAGAGGACAGTTAGATTGCAATTGGTACTGTAGAACAGTGCTTAGAACAAAATAAAACAAAACACAACGAAGGCCAATTATGTGCGTAATTATTTGTTTAGGCCACAGCAAGTAAATTTTATGGATGACGTCCTCCGCAGGCTCGAGATCTAATGCGAGCGGGCGAAAAAAAACAAGGCGGGCCTAAAAAACAAGGTTCCTACAATGTAAAATCTTGACTCAATCATTGTATAAATGGTTTTGACTCAGTAGGAACATCACATATACACAGCCAGCTTCACATATCACTGCATCAAAGTAAGAAACAAAACATTAAATCAGAGCCTTTTCTTGTCTCCTCTCTTCCTAGTTATCTGCCATCCACCTTCGGGCATGGCAACAGACATCTTTGCCTATTTTCGGCATGTTGACCACTGTCAGAAGGCAACAAAATTTCTTGTTTCTTTTTCCAAATCAGGCGAAAATTAATGCGCGCGCGGATGTCATCCATAAATTTTACTTGCTGTGGCCTTATACGAACCTCTGTTGTGAAGTCGATCTTCCAAAGTGGCCTCTTGGCTGCACGGCGGGGTCGAGACACTTCACTGTCTTCAGACTGTCCTTCTGGACCGACGCTCTAAGAAAACAAGGTAGGGCTCATAATTAATATAAACTAGATGTCAAGGCAAAATTTGGGAGATGCAATATCTATGTTCATTAGATTGATAAAAAGCTGTTTAACAATATGCATGCAACTGATTAATATCACAAATATGATAGATACTACAGTATTCAATTTCTTACCGACGCCGATGTTCCTGCGGTTGGCTCCATTTCTTCAATCTCCTTCCGCTGCTTTCTCTTCTTCTGTAGCCTTTCCTCTCGCTTCCTCTCCATTTCTTCAATCTTCTTCCGCTTTTTCTCTTCCCTCTCTTCTTTCCTCTTCATCTGTTCTTTCACCTTCCTTTCCTCTTTCTCTTCTGCTTCCTTTCTCAAATCCTCCACATACTTTTCATCGAACACAATGGCCCTCGGTTTGACCCTCCTCACTCTCCGCTGACTGGTGTCTTGGATGGGGGTGAGGAGGTCGGCGACATATGCAGGTACAATACCGGCCTTTACGAAAGGGTTGACTGGCTCTTCTTCATCGACGTCTTCTGCACCAGCTTCCTCGTTGTCATCGTCATGGGACTCCGGCTGGCTGTTTAGTGTTAGCCAGCGGCTATCGACCTTCGACTCGTTGACAGGGAACACTCCTGTTTTCTCGAAGCCGGTTTTGATGACAGACATGGTCAAGCTTTTTTCTCTGACTACTCTGTACACCTTGGGGAACACAGATTTGGTCATGAAGAAGTTGGGACGAACGAGCCTCATCTCGTTGACCACGTCCTCGAAGGTGCTTTTCATCTTGCTGAACGGTCCACCTTGTGCGTCGAGGGGCTGCAAGAAGTGGCTGGTGTGCGGAGGAAGACCCATCAGGATGACGTCATTAGCTAGAGCAGTGTCGATAGCGTTGGCTGTCAGGTGCGCTGTGTGCTGGTCCATCTGGAGCAGCACTGGTCTCTCCTGGGACGCAAATCGGCAAAAGCATTTCTTCAGCCACTCTACGAATACTTCGCCTTCAATAAAACCAGACGGTGTTGTAGAGTACAGGGCGTTGGTGGGCCCCTCAAGTCTGTACGCAGAGCTTGAATAGGACTTAGAGAATATTACTAACGGTGGCAATGCCGAACCGTCAGCAGAGACGCACTCCATCAAAGAAATGTGGCCACGAGTGCCTTTCCGTACGAAAACGGCAGGGGCGACCATTTTGCAGAAGGTCACGACACTTTTTTTCTGTGGATCCAGGTCGAAGCCATGTCTCATCCACATTGTAGACCCTGTGAGGTTGACTGGAGAGGCCCTTGTCGTTGGGTGTTGTGCTCAACAGGGTAAAGAATTGAGGGTGGAGAAACTAGAGAGAGTGCACAAGATAGGTGCAAAACGCTTACAAGGGATGCACTTCCAGACTGAGACAAATGCTAGCCTTGCATCCCTTGGGATGATGCCACTCAGAGCCATAATAGACAAGCACAAGCTTCTGATGTTTGGAAGACTTGCAAGACTACACCACACGTGCCTGTTTTCAGAAGCAGACTAATGACTGAGTGTATCTATTAAACATGCATGGGCAACGGCAAATTCACTATCAAATATACGAAGATGCTAATACACGTACCTATAATTATATCAATATCTGGTGTGGAAAGGAAAGGAGAGCTAAGGGCTATTGTATGCCCCCACAATGGCTACAATTTTATTTGTTACAATAATACCATCCACATTAATCAATACGCCAGTATTCTTCTGAAAGCCGTGCTGCTGGTTCTTTCTTTTG